GTCCCGAATAATCATCCCAGAAATCGATATATGTAACAAATATATATATTATTATATTCAATATTATTCAAAAAGAAATAAATCATCAAATATTGCTATATTTTTTGCGAGTGAAGGACAGCTACGAAATTAGGCTAACGAAATCTCGCCAAATTCAGCCAACTTGGCATTTCTATGCCAAAAACATCCATTGCGTCCCTCTTTAATTCAAAGTGATCCCTTCTGCATTCATAGATCTTACGCTTTCTCACTGCAACATTAAGCGGTCGCTCCCTTCGAGAGTTTTCCGTGTCACGGGCCAGAAAATAAGGTGCCACTAATATTTATGAGTCGCCATTAAGGCCTCCATTTCTCCATCTCTTTTCTAACACCGTAGTACGTTTTTTATCTACCCACCCCCAACCTTTCGAAGATCTTCGAAATAAGCGAGTTGTTAAAAGTGTCTCGAGGAGAGATTTGAAAATTTGTTCCGACAGGCAAAGTTATTAACTCACATAATAGCTTTTAAACTATTTACGTAACATAACGTTTTCTATTAGAATGCCATTTCCTTCATTAATTCCACAAAATTAGCTAAGGCAGTTTTAAAATTAATGCATTGAGATATTGCAGGGTTTGATTAAAACTTCAGTAAAAATTTCTTTCTGAGATTTTCGTACTACTACTTTAACCAATTTTTTTTCGCTAAAATATTGTAAATTTTGTAATATTTTAACTTATGTATGAAATAATAGCAGCAAGGAAAGGCCAGAACACTGCTAATGCGTGCGTAGATCTATACTGAATAATCCTGATTGCGTAGTATGCTAATGCGTTGACTTCGTAGCATCTAAAAAACTTGGCAGTCGAGGAAGTTTTAATTTCATTTTTATTTTCCAGTTGATGTTTGTGGCTACAGTTCACTTGGTTCTCTAGTCGTGCCTTTTAACAGAACATTTACATTTTTGATATTATTGCGATAGCAAAATTACATCCTAGCAGAGCACACGGCACACGGCGAAGCTGAAGTGCGTAGTTATGCAACAGTGAAGCACGGGAAGAGAAAAGTTTTGGTTCCCAATTATTACGTCATCAGAGCTGCGCAGGCTATAGAATGATCTAGAAATGACGCAACCCCGAGAAGTTATTAAGATTTTCAGAACAGAGAGGGAGAATTAAAATTTTACCGTTAGTTTAAATTATAATTTTGATTTACATATTTTTATCTTACATGAATATAAACTCAAAACATCTAAATCAATTAGAAACATATATATATTATATATAAACATATATATATGTACACTCTTAGGCACACACACACACACACAAAAAAAAAAAAAAAAAAAAAAAGACGCAACGACGCACCAAGAAGGAGTTATCTGAATGGGACGAAATTCGGTAGAAGTGATGCATATAATATAACTAGGATGATAACCATTCAGAGAATGTTATCCTACCTTATTTTTCCCGAATAAATTAAGAACATTGTGTGTGGTGATAAGATTCGTGATTTAGCACTGTAGCCAATCACAGTTATAACATCTTAATTCAGGAGATATGGAATGAGAGTTGTTTCGAGGTCTGCCGTGCAGTAAGTGGAGCAAGCCTCGAAATCTAGTTAAGGTAACACGAAACTCTTCAGGCTTTGTTTTAGCATTTAACCATTTGCACAATTTTGATATCCTTAATAGTTTTGGAACGACATTATTAGCAACAATAAAAATTTCATCATTTCCGAGAAACTCTACAGAGCGCTGCTAACCAGAATAGCAGCAACGGCGAAAGAAAGTTCACCGCCTCAGTATTGCGATGTGCGTGTACAGTTTGAAAAGACGGCTATTTTATACATGAAAAGGAACACAGGACGCCAATCTGTCCACAAATCGTTAAAGAGGATGAAAAACATTCATGTGAGTAATGAAAGGGTAAAAAAGATTCGCTAGACTTATCTGCGAAACCGCAGCAAACTAACATATCGTGTCAGAAAACAACTTAAACGTACAACAAGGAACTAATCCACCAGCATCTGACGTTGAAGCCGTACAAATTTCAACATAACATAGGCCAAAAAAGAGGAAAACAATTATGTCTGGACAACAATTAACGGCAGTTGGAAAGTCGCTCAAAATATACTGCCAGGGGGTGATCCCCCCTCTAGCAAGCAACTGTGTAAGAATATATGAAATTTCGCTAAAATGTAACGAAGAGCATTTGTAATAAATCATATGTCATACTGCTCTTCTCATTCATATTTCAAAAAAAAAAAAAAAAATATTCATTTCACATTTACTGTGGAGAAATATTTAAATGCCCCATTTATGCAATTAACTAAGCTTGGTGGCAGCAATCAAATCTAACCAATTAAGAAAAATTATAAGCTGTAATAAGTCACAAAACACACTTTCCTTTTCACCTTTTTTTATGATCCTGCGAAAGCGACAACGCTATTTTTATATTATCTGACAAGATCTCAAGAGTCATTAAAAATTAGCAGAGTTCTCTGAATTAAATTTTTCGGCTCTTGCCCGTGAACAAACCAAAACGGAACGAAATAACAAGAGCAACAAAAGTCGCAAAAAAGAAAAAAATCTCTTTACGAATGATGTCAGCCCTTGTACATCTGAAATAAAAGATCACAGGATCCCTCCGACAAGTCGGATGCCACATTACAGAAGAATAACAAAATAAGCTCAGATAAAAACTTCTCAGATGATTACGGTCACAGATAGTGTAATTAGAGCGGACAACTTTGCGGATTAAAAATTCGGCGCTAATATGCACATGCGCGTGTGTTTTGTGGTTATACCTGCGGGATTTCAACTTCTGACGCGCAGCCGTCAAAACGTTGCGAAGTGCGGAGTTAAAAAAAATAAGAACGTGAGAATTTTTGAAGGAGCAACTGGAATATATATTACTGACGGTAAACATCGAAATAAAAAAAATTCTGTGAGTTTAAATTATGTATTCCATTTTCAGTCAAAAAAATATTCCTTTGACATATCAAATGTGGTGCACAACTTAATTATAATTTTCCAAAGTAAATATTTTTGTTTGATGGCGGTAGTTCTAAAAGAATTTTCTAGATTTTTGCCACGAATTATACAGGAAGGGTGTTTTTTTTTCACTTATATTCCAGTAAAGAGGTTGCAGCATTTCATTGCAATGGCAAAATAGTGGTATATATATATATATATAGGCAAGTGTGAGTATCATTTGGGAATAACACAAGACTATTTTTTCGACGAAAATGCCAGTAATAATATTTAAAAGATGTCTTTGAGAAAGTACGAACTAATTATCTAAAAAGTGACTTCCAGGTATAATTCCGTTCGGAGTCTGAAATGGTACTTTTTTACGTAGTTGTCGTATTTAGGACAGAACACCAGAGGAAGGGGCTCCCAGACCTGGCTTGCTCAATGCCGCCTTACACGGTTTATAAATGCCCCAACCTCCATAGGCGATCCGAGGGGGGGCCACCCCGGGTCGGCAGCTGTTTATATAATAATAAAAGGTTTCCAACTCAATAAATAGGCATTCAGGATAAGCAATTAAAGGGGAACTTATCGTAATTACGTTGGATAATGACATCGGAAATATCTCTCGTGAAGTGGTAACTGACGAGATTTGACTCGTGAAGTGGTAACTGATGATCACTGTATTTGTTTAGTCTATTTTTAGAAAATGATTAAAAAAACAACGAGTGACGAAATAAGCTAAAAATTAATAGATTTTTATTCAATACCTAATCAATTACCTTTATATTAATCGTTATAAGTTGAATGTTTCCCGAACGCTGTAGGTCAATCTTATCAAACACATTCATATAAATTAATATGTAGACTTAGCTTTATAAAACTAATGTACATTTCTGTGTTATCTTTTCACATATTATTCAAATAAAAGAAAAAATGTGTCAATAAATTAATATAATGCTTAATTTTACTTTGCCTAAAAAAATAACAAGCTGTCTATGTAACTGTGGCAGTATTTTCCCTCAGCACTACTTTGTACGTTAGATTTTAATATTTAACGAATAAGAAATAATAAATTTATCTTTCCTCCTTCGAAATTATTACGAAAGTCTTAAAATGTTTATGAAATTTTTCCGAAATATAATCTATTGAAACAAATTTGCATTGGTTTACATTTATACATTTTATTTGTGGTATGAGATTTTAAATATCTTGTGGTTAGAATTAGAGAGGAAACAATTCTATTTTCTGTTTAAATGAAATACAATTTGTTCACGTAAATGAAAACTGGAATGCCATCGGAAAAATCTTCATGTCAAACTGCTACTACTTTTTTTAATGTTTAAACCCTTTGCGGCACAGTGTGTCCTATCTGGACACACCTAAAAATTTCCTTCTGTACGCACAGAAAAATTGAATGAAAAAGGATTTATAGGTTACTCTGAAACTTCTTTATTTATAGTAGATGGCAGCTCAACACAAACCAGTCCATATATTTTAGCCATGTTTAATTTTAAGACCCTTATTTTTCAAAGAAATCTTCCAGATTTTTTTTAGGGTATAAAAGGAATTGTTTGAAAAGAAATTTCTATGTTATTTTTTGGCTGTATGCTAATCTCCTTATTCTATATTAGTTTTAAATTTTTACCTTGAAATTTTGCCTAAAATCAAACGGCGAACCCTAGGTGTGCCCAGACCGGGGTCACCGATAATCTAGGACAACTGAGATTCTGTATTCTTTGTTTCTCCGCATCTCATCGCTCAGTTCATTGACAAATATGCTGGTTTCAGTACTCTTTTTGAAGCTCTATTCAATCAGTGTGCCCATTTTGGGCACACCCACAGAATTAAAATCATAAGTGCTATCGTCACAAAATTTGACTTGTGTACTCCTCTAGGCCTAATTAGACTGCCTACCTTTTTTTTTTTTTTTTTTAATCAAAACTCCGACTTTAAAAGGTAGCGTGCCGGAAAGAGTTAATTTTATACACAAAAATGTGATTAAGAGTATCATGCTATTAAAAGGAAAAATCAAAAGAAACTTACCCGTTATTATGGTGTTTGTATAAGCATTGACCATAATTTTAGGACTCGCCCTCAGAGAAGGATCTTTAACTTCCTGCTTTACCACCGGTTCTTCTTTGGTCACCTTCTTGCTCTCCTCACATTCTTTATCTAAAAAATTGTCTGTTTGGCCTCCAGCAGTCCCACTATCCTGCTGGCGGCCATCGCTTGCAAACCTCAAACTGTTTGGCGAGGCTGACTTTTCCGTCCTATTTCGATTTCTGTGCAGATGGTGATGCTGGTGATGGAGCCCCTTCCTGTTACAAATGGGGGCTGATATACTTGGCGCTTTCGACGCCGACACCAGAGGACCCAGAGGTTCTTCCCGATCACTGTCGAAGTCTGGCTGGTTGCCATCTTCAAGAATTATAAAGTTGTTCTCTTTGTTGCAACTATGAACTTTATGTTGAATAAATTTGACTATCTCGGAGAGGACGAATACCTTCTGGCAGGAACCACATGTCAAAGTGTCCTGCAGCAATTCGGCTTCAGCTATAAAATAGAGAAAAAAGTGTTTTCAGATTTCAGGTAACATAGAAAAATATGTTGGAGTTTGAAGAAAGAATGAGTCAAGTTACCTAACTGAAATAAAAGATATAAATGAGATGATTCAAATAAATGGTACAAAACGCTATATAAATGCCAAATAATGAGGTCAGTTTCAAGCTTAAATTATAACTGTACTATCCTTCAACACCTCCGAATAAGATTAAAAGAAGAAATGTTTCAGAAACAGAAAACGTATTATTTCAGCTGAAGCTTTGATCATTCTCGGGGTGATCTTCAGAAAATAACAGATATCAGATAAGTCATGACCACAGGTCATGGCCAGAGAAATGGTCAAAAGAAATAAAGGAATGCTTTTTATTAATTTTTTCCTTTTAATTTATTTCAGTATTCTATGCTGCTATGTAATATTTTAAAAAAATGGCGCTGAGGAAGAGGAAAAATATATTTAGCATCTTACACATTACATCCTTTTTTATTGTGAACATGTTTTGTGTCAGAGCCTACCATTGGCCGAGTGGATATGAATCCCATTAATCAAGCTGGCTGTATGAGAATTTTCATTGTTTTCCCCATGTCTAATACGAGTAAGCCAGTATCTCTTAGGAAGTCTGCCAGAAAGACATCCCTGCCATTAGGCAGGTAGTTTTTAATGTATAAGGTATTTCTCCCGCCTTCTTAGCGTGCGTGGTGTAGTGGTCTGCATGCTGGGTGCGTATTCCAGAGGTCTGCGGTTCGATTCTCGGAGAAGGCGTTGTTCATTTTTTATCTCTCCTCTTTCCAAAAATACCTATTGTCTCTACAGTGGCGCTCGAGCTAAAAAAGTGTTGGATGATGATACTCCTCAGCCAGGATTTGGCGATTGGGCCCCCTAAAAACCCCAGTCGCCCTTTAAAAGGGGGAGTATATAAAATACTTCTCCCGCCTTCTTGGCATGTCTTCGTGGTGTGGTGGTCCGCACGCTGGACGCGTATTCCACAGGTCTGTGGTTCGATTCCCGGTGAAGGCGTTGCATATTTTTCATCTCGACTGCTTCCAAAAAATACTTAATGTCTCTACAAATGTGTTTTTCTGTAATTCAGTAAATCCAAATCTGGTTTTCTGATATAACCTAAAATGCTTGTAAAAGAGTTCAGGATAGAACAAAAATAGATAAGTGTTCTTGATGGTAGAAAAGGTTAAATGTATAATGCCTGATAATGAGAATTTTTTATGAAGATTTGTTTAGTAATTAATTATTTTTTAATAACTGACAGAATTTGACTGCTGAGCAGCCAGCATCAGTTTCGCTTGAAAATAAGCTATGTGCGATATACCACAGAACAATAGCTCGGTCCCATGGTAGTGCCATTAATGGCTGCAAGAAACAAGAAATAAAGACATTTGGAATAGCTTTTCGAGTAAATTATATGGATAACAAATGACAATTTCAACACTCCATGCACGACGAGCGACTATGGTCCCATTAATCCATCTATCCATCCATCCATTGTTCCCGCTTAACATTACACAATAATAATAAAATTTTCGCTCCGAAAATTCAGTGGCGCTCGAAAATGTCTGTCCGGACGTTTCAAAAGGGAAGAAGGCATTGTGCAACCGTTCCATTAATTGGCGAAAAGCAGGGAAGAAGAACAGATTGACTGGACGATTTCACGAGCTGTTAACCGAGTAATTAACCCTTTTGTCTCCGCCTGCCACACTGTCGAAGAGGGGAAATGTGAATGAACCATCATCATATTTTTAGGTCGCGATTCTTGCATGAAAAGGGGGGCGATTAAGGTTTTATTATGTCTCTTATTAAAACCATTCAGAATTGTTGGGATGATAATATAATACTAATTTTAAATTATAATTACAAGTTTCCTCTTGAACTGTCATAGCGTAGTGGTCTCGAAATGAAATATAGTAAAATGCATAATAAAATGTTTTTAGCTATTTAAAAAATATCAAGCCCTTATCACACCTTTGCCATGTGAAAAACTTAGCATTTTGCATTTCACGTGGAAATGATTTTGGGATATTTGTGTCATAAAAGAATTTCTGTATCACTATGTTATATATATATATATATATATATAATATATAAAGTGGGTACATTAGGTAAGAGATAAATAGCGCTAATAGCTGCTATTTAGCATATCAAATGTTGTATGATCTTAAATCCATTTAGTGCGAATACAAGTTATTATTATTACTTGCGCAATTGCTGCAAAGTTAGTTAATAATAATTTATTTCCTAAACAGTATTGATTAATTGATTATATTATCTCCTAAGTTTAATTAAAGTAGAATTATTTTAAAAGTGTGCATCCATACTGGTAAGTTATATTTTGAAAGATGTTTTGAAGTAATTTGAAAGCAAAATGTTAATAATGTTTTAACGGGGACTGGAGTTAAATCATCACGAGGAATAATATATCAATTGTAAAAGGAAAAATTAAAACATGTAATCATTGTCATTGATCGGAAATTAGTTGACTTTTCAAGGGGAACAAACCAACTCCCGTTCAATGAACAATAATTGATAAAAATACGTAAATACGAAAATGTTTCGTCTTTACTCGAGTTATAAGTTAAAGCCAAACCGGCAATTCTAGTAAGGCCAAATATTTCCGCGAATAGTTGCTACTCAAAGAACTTATTCTCATGAAGCATTTTAGTAACATTATATATATATATATATATATACATACATACATATACATATGCATATATTGTATAATCTAGTGGCAACAATTTTGCAATAATTTTTAGTTTAAAGACGATAAAATGTACAATCTTTGCAATTTCATAGCGTTTCCATTTTTAGCTTGTTTTATTAGTTAATAAAAAATAATAATAATCATCGTTTGAACGTGCAACCTTGTGGATAATCATTCACTGGAAACAAACTCTTTCCCAAGTTTTCTTAATTATGATACGATAAAAATAACTCAATCATAAAGATACATCTAGTTCTTCCGGTCTTTTATATTTGTTGAAACGGTTGACGAGTATAATAGTAAGTACCTGGGAGTTAAGGAAACACATTTATCAGCAAAGAAAAAGAAAAAGGAATTTATTTCTCTAAAAAAAATTAGAAATAAAATTGTTGTCTCGCAGTTCTAACAGGAAGTTAGCACCTATAGCGTGAAATATGAGAGAGAAAAAAGGCATTAGTGGGATTAGAACGGAGCTTTTCCCCCCAAGCCTAGTTTAATGACTTTTGTCAACCGTAGATTGAAATGTAAATACCCGATGAAGTGCCACGAATAATCACAAGAAAAAAATTAACTTGTTTGAGAAAAGAACTTACTGTACCATTGCTGTAACTTTCAAATGGAAGAGCAGCAAGGGGTTTTGAAGATAACATTTTTGAAGTCGCTAAGTGGGATATTTAAAGAAGAATTTCCTTCCGCAGAATGATGGCTAATATGACACTAGAGAATTACAGTTCAGAATTTTAAGTCACCCTATAAATTAGTCCAATGGCATTTCTTATAATTTTTTTTATCAAACCTACATTTCAGCTTATAATAATGGTATAGGCAAAAAAGCAAAGACAAGGAAGCATAAGCAATATCACACTTAAAACGTGAATGAAGTAGTTAATTCTAATGGACCTTTCTAACAAACTTTTCTTAAATAGATTAAAGTATATATCAAGAAGTTGAATACTTACAAATTATGAAAATGCTTCAGTCAGAAAGAGAAAAAAGACAATGTAAAACTTAAAATTAGACAAACCTTGTTTTAGTTCATAATTAAATAAATTAAAATTTTACTGAGAGAGAGAGAGATTTTAAAAAAATCTCTAGCTATTTCGAGGGCAATCAGACACAAGTCTTTCTTCTACAGGAGGAAAAAAATTTTTTTTTCTGCAAAGAAGGGAGGAGCGAAGATCATATTTAAATCAAAAACAATTGGCGGACCAAAGCGAACACTAACGTCCTATTATCTATCGAGGAAAATAGTAATGAAACAAGAAGAATTAAGGTAACGGAATTTTAGAAGCGTTAGCAAAGAATTACTGTTATTACCTAAAGCAGATAAATTTTTGTAAATTGTAAAAGTTGCATAAATCGATGGAGTTTTATTTGAAATCTATGTCAAAAGGTTACGCTTTTGCCCAAATAGAAAACCGTTTTTTGATAGTTACAAATTAATTCCTTTTGGCACCTAAAAATAAAGAGATAATTTTTAATACAAACCTTCAAGACTACCGCAACAACGTCAGAATTCTACAGAAACTTGCGAGTGTTCATAAGGATTTTAAAGTCCGGATATCGCTTTCAAGAATTATAATTCTATTTTAGGATTCCCATGAAGCCCATTTTAAAGCTTTAAATTTATATGAACTTGTCCATAAAAATTACAGCCTAATGTCAAAATTGATTTTATGTGAACAATTGTTATCTATTTGTAGAATGTGAGATGCATATATACATATATATTAATTACCATTCATGAAATTCAACTGGAAGGCAGCTTGAGGAAGTTCATGCCAATTCTTTATACTGCAATGTTTAATATTTTATTACTGGTTTCAGAAGAGAAAATTGATTTTCTACAGGAATCTTAAACTAAAGGTTATATGAAAACTCAGTTTCCAAAGTAGATTTGACATAAATATTTATAGAATTGAGAATGATGGTATGTTTGAAGATTTTTGGTGTGAAACCGCTGCTCTCAATTCAGTTTAAATCCAGCTTAAAAAGAATAATAAAATACTAGTTAGAATGAGGAAAAAATAAAAAAAGTCCTTAAAATTCAATTCAAAGGATAATATACATAATTTTAACTTTCATATTTGTTCTAAAATTTTATCATATAAATAATGGTGCATTCATTATTTGATTCACTGTAATTTGATTAGTGATTTTAAAATTTATCATGATCTCCAGAATGGAATATAACTTATCAAGAAAATTACTACTGAACAACTTTCTATTCACAATCATATTTAATTTCTTAAAAATATCATTTTTTTTCCTTTCGGGAAA